TGTACAATTTAGTGATTACCTCAGCCACAGTGAGCACATTACCTGTATGTCACTATGCAAATTGAACATAGATAATTATGATACTGTGTTTGTTTATTAATTTGATGTTTCGTAAAGATATGTAGTGTTGAAATCTGTTATTATTATGATTCAGCGAGTGTTATTTGTTCAGTTAATTAGTGTTATTTGGTCAGTTAATTATACAAATTGTTATGTTATTTGTAATTTTTTTGGTCTCACTTCTCATTAGTTGTTAAAATTTATTAGTAAAAAAAAAATTCAATATTTAATTTTATTTTATATTATTTTCATTTACTTTTTTTTATAGTATTTCGTGATGACAAACATATTAGTTTAATTTATTTTTTATTATAATTATTTTTAGTGATTTACAGGATTTTTTTTTAATTGAGGTTTCATTTGTGATAAAGTTATATTACTGAAGGAGGGAGTAAGAGAAGACGAGGAGGAGGAGGAGGAGGAGGAGAGGCGAGGGAAGAGACGAAAGAAAAAGGATGATACAATTTTTCCTACCTATTTTAGTATCATGTTAAATCTGTTTTGGCACCACGTTGGCACCATGTTGGCACCACATTGACACCTCTCGTAAATTATTTCTGTTGTGATCAGTCAGGTCTAACTGCCTCCTCGAAATTGTGACAACTTCCTCCTACCCTCCGTACACTTCATCACCTTGCATACTGGACAAACACCAATCCACCCCACTACCTCAGGAACGGCCCTTAGTGGTGCGTATATCTTCGTCTGTGGTTGATGAGACACAGGAGGAGTGAGGTACCTGGTGAAGGAATAAGTGGATAAGGTAATTAATCTATAGTGTCCAGGTAGCTACTAATGGAAACACCTGTGGAGGGACGTATGTTAGGTGAGTTGAAGGAACACCTGTTGGACATTGTGGACATCTGTTGGACATAGTGGACATCTGTTGGACATAGTGGACATCTGTTGGACATAGTGGACATCTGTTGGACATAGTGGACACCTGGTGGACATAGTGGATCTGTTGGACATTGTGGACATCTGTTGGACATAGTGGACATCTGTTGGACATAGTGGACATCTGTTGGACATAGTGGACATCTGTTGGACATTCGTAAGTACTTTATTCATATATCTCGGGCATGTGGGGAAAATGAAATATACTCAGAAAAAAATAAATGTTTCACAATTGATTGAAAAATGCGTAATAAAGAGAAAACAATTGTCAATAATACGTCTTTTTTTAACATGGCTTCACCCCCTGTACCAAGCTCGCCCCCATGTACCAAACTCTCCCTTAAGCTCGCCCCCGTACCAAGCTCCTTTACGTGCCAGCTCGCCCCACCAAAGCTCGCCCCCCCACCCACCCCTCCCCAGAGTCAGTTGTTTTTGCGTCACCTCTATCAGGAAAAAAACCTCTTGACTACATCATAATACCACCAATTCGTGTACAGTACGTAGACACACACACACACACACACACACACCAAACTATCAAACTATCCCTATGAAACCTTCTGTGTTAACGACTCTCCCACTAAACGACCCACCAAAAAGGAATTACCAAACCATATAACTCATCTTTGATTACATTAAACTCTTCAGTATAATCAGTCCTCCATTCTCCCTCTCACTTTACCTAACCTAACCTAACCTAATCTCAACAGGGCTAGTATTATCAGTGTAATTATAGAACAAGAACAGTACCTTCGTCAGGATAAAAGTGTAGGGCGGTGGCTTTTCACCCATAGTATTTGTGATGGACGGAAGCTGCGGTAATGGACTTCCTCTCAGCGGCATAAACCTTACTATTTGACGTCACAACATGTCAACTGGTCTTCAGACTAATATTGTAATTCATAACATTAATTTTGATTCAGTAATTAAGTCTTTATAAGGAAGATAATTATAGAACGAACTACATGAATAATAATATAAATGATAATATGAAAAATACAGATATAGATGGATATTTATTCAGTAAAATCATCACACAAGTTTAGAATTAGTTGAGTATGTATATAGCCAATGCAGGTATACAGTTGTGACAGTAACTAGGTAGACAGCTCCTTGAAAGAAATATTTATTCATTATATGAGTGTTTATTCTTTTCATCTAACAAGTGTTATATTATTTTATATTATGTTTGTTTGTGATATGTCTTATTGTAGGTTATATAATATATTGTTGTATTGTAAATTATGTAATATATGTGTGTCAATGTTTATATCCTTGTAGTGAGTAATAAACACCCTGGCAACTGTGAGGTTATTGGTAGGTCTAGTGGTAGTCACACACTCCCGACCCTGGCTCCCTGACGTGCTGACTGGCTCTGAGGGCTTTGTGTTTGTGCTACTGAGTGGTCACCTCACAGCTAAGTTTACTTTGTGTATTTGGATTAAGGTTCTAATTATAATGTATATTGTGATAGGTAACAGTTATTCCATGTGCTAATTGTAGGGTTAAAGGTTGTTGTTTTTCTGTACTGGTGTTGGTTGTCAGTTGATGTACTTTCATTTCACCTTTCTGTGTATATAGTGTGAATATGTTTAATACTTAATATATTATAGCAGTTTATAGTGTATTATGAATATTGGTCTTTATCTTCTCTTGTGTTATGGAACATTATACCCAAGACAAGTATAGGCCCGCTGCAGTTTCCTCCATTCTTATGTTTTTAATGTCCTATAACACAGTTCAACACGTATAGACAACGCAGGTATACTGTTTCAATATACTGTGTTTGTGAAGTTCTGCCAACATCCAAACTTGAATTCATATCATAATAATAAGTTTTGATAGAAAATTATTAAATGATGATACTAGAATATTATGCAAGTACAGTTCTCGATAATGTAGTGTTAGACAGTTGTGTATATTCCTAAGAGGCAAAGTTAATTATTACTTATCCTGTAAACATTTTTCCTTTTCAAAGTTAAAATATATCTCTGTTCAGTTAATGTATTATTTAATTGTATATAACATTATGTATTTTTGTTAGTGAATTTAAACCTTCTGTAATAGTTATCCCGTTTTCTTAAACTTGCAAGACGGGAGGAAGGTTTGCTGCTTGAAAATCTCTACCTCAAATACATAATTATTAGGTTTGTAGTAGCAGCCTCTACTTGCCTGCCCTCTTGCGGAGTATATTGCAACGCCACTTTTTCCCAATTCCATGTCAATAGGATTCAGATCAATCTTGAATATGCTGTGATAAAGATTCTGATGATGTAATTTATATTTGTTGTTATAACTGAGTAGAATTCCTTACGCTAGTGATTAGGGCAACGAAAGCACAGCTCACTGCAGCCCTCATACGGAACAGCAGCTTTACCTGACCATTCGTAAATTCATAACTGTAAATTCACAAGTAAAATGCAAAAAATCTGTTTGTTTTGAATAATTTGTTATTTTACCATTAATAGTAATATGATGTGATTGACAGTGTTATTTGCCTGACACTATCACTTGATATCTTAGCTGAATGTTCTTTGTATTATTACTACTGATTATCTTGCTAGGTGCTGTGTGAAGGCACGTGATAGGTAGGTGCTGTTGAGGGAGGCAGTGCTGTTAACTCCTTCTACATCTAGACGGAACCGAAGGACATCCTACAGTTGCTGCAGCGTCTCTCCTGCATGAGGAAGCAGCACAGCAGACCCAGCGGGAAGAAGAATACCCCGATACAAATACCACAGCAGGTAAACTCCTTCTGCAGTGTGCCAGCCTGTTGGGGAGACGGGATGGATGACAATATTTTTCTGTCTGTAATCTCTCTGTCTCTCTCTATTTGTTTAGCTAGAAAGTAATTATTTTTTTCCTCTATCTATCTATATTTATCTATTTATATATCTATCACCTGAATTAAGACACAGACATAGACAAACTTACCCAGTAGGTCAAGAAGAAGAAGCAGACAGACTCAAGATAGACAGACAGACAGACAGACAGACTTACCCGGCAGGTAGGGCAGATCGTCTCCAACACTACGGCAATGGGAGCGTTGATCACCTGAGGCTGCGTGGTGATCACCTGTTGTTGATACACCCTGTAGTCTGACGAGTCGTACCCTGAGGCACCGCTTTCAATTACTGTTACCTTTACATCAGAGGGGTTGGTGCTGTAGGGTGGGGGCAGCTCTTCTGTAGATAGGTAGAGGGATAGGTCGATAGGTAGAGAGATAGGTCGATAAGTAGTGTAACAAGTATTGCTGTCTAAAGAACACTCGTGGCGTACTGCTTGCTACCTTGGTGTGGGTTGCTGTGAGAGCTTGAGCATGACTTGACACATCGAATGAATCTACTCCGTCCCAGTGTATCAGGGAGGGAGGTGAGAGATTGGAGAGACCCCCCCCCCCTCCCCTCCCCTTCTCCTCCTGCCCATGAACAGCTGGAGTATATAAAGGGGCGTGGGTGGGCGTGGGTTGGATAGATTAATTAAGGGGAATTTTAAAGCTTAGTTACGTTAAGAATTTTTTATGTGTACGTTTAAATGTAAGAATATTTACTTTTATATGAATAAATTTTAATTCTTCCCTCCCCCCCAAACAAAAACATTCTTAACCTAACTAAGCTTAAAATTAGCCTTAACCTAACAAGAATTACAACATAACCTAACCAAATGCTAACTTAGCCTAACCTAACCACTCACAAACTAACCTAACCAAACACCTCCAGGTAATATTAAGAAGGTTAATCATCAGGTGATCCTAATTAATTACATCTTACCTGTTATATAGTTGGCCATAGTTTGAGTAGAATAGCTCTATCGTTTGACTCCAGAAACACCTGTATGAGAGAAGATATTGTAGTTTTTGCTTAAGATACAAGAAGTACTGTTGATCTTGAAGCAACGTACAAATGAATAACTCAAGAGAAATGAAAAATTAACAGTTCGTAGAGAGATGACGAATGGATCACATAATAGAATACAAAGGCGAAGATTAGGTTTGATTAGTGTTAGGTTAGATTAGATTTGGTTTGGTTAGGTTAGGGTGATTA